CTTAATTGCAAGCTATTTTAATAATTTTTCGTCAAATTATTATGAATTCAAAAGAAGAATTCTAAAAGGAAAGGGATTCTTAATAGGTAAGTTTGACTTACAGGAGAAGAATTCTAAGAGGAGAGGGATTCTTAATGGACAAGTTTATATGATTATAAATAGGTGAAGTCTTTACATGGTTAAGTATGAGAAAAAGATATAAGAGAGTTGTAGGGTTTTATGGGATAGATACCTCATAAGAGTATTGGGGTTTTACGTCTTATGGGTGTTGTATTGGGGTTCTACGTCTTATGGGTGTTGTATTGGGGTTCTACGTCTTATGGGTGTGTATGTTTGTTTGTGAGTGGACTAGAGGAGATTGAGATGGTCCACATAGGTATGGTGTATGGGAGCATATGGGTATGTGTTTGGTTATGTTGAAAGGATGCACAAGGATTTGAGTTTGTGTTTGTTTGGGTTGAGAATACTCCATAGGACTAGAGGAGATTGAGAGTGTCTTATGAGTATTGATTGTTGAGTGAAGTTGATGATTTGATGTATGTTTGTAATTCTCTACAACTAGTGAATTTTGTTTTTCATCCGTGGATGTAGGTCAGTTGGACCGAACCACGTTAAATTATTGTCTCATGTGTGTTTGATTTATTATTTGATTTCGCTTCCGCTGTTGTGATTGGATTGGAGACTTTTAGTCCAATAATTCATCCGTCTATTTTAGTTAAAATAAAAAAATATGTACAATAATTTGATCAAATTAATTCTTTTATTTTTTTCAGTTTTTTATTTCTTCATTTCTTTTTCTTTTTCTCTCTCTACATATTCTCTCCCTCACTATTTTGAATCTTTTGCTTTACTTTCTTCAACAAAGTATTGATCTCTCTCATGCTTAAGCCAGTATTTCCGACAATTATGTCTAACAATTTCCTTAGAAATAGTTCAATTAATAAGAAGAAGGAAACAAGGTATCATCAACTGATATTATAAATATGTTGGATGAGAAACTCCAACATTATTATTTTGATTGTAATTGGTTACACCAGCAATGAAGAAAGCTGAGATTCCCTCTACCAGCATCACTTGACTGATGAGCTGTTGGCCTTTCACTTGATCCGATAAGCTAATAGCTTGACGACATAACATATATGTTAGTACAAGTGCACAACTGCTGCAACATTTGCTCGAAAGCAAACCAATTAACTAGCAAATAGATGGTTATTCGGGTTTAGTTGAGTTGATAAATTTTAAATATTTCATTAAAATTCAAGTTTCATTTTCAGTAGTCTTTCTTAGATAATAATTTATAAATCTAATGTAAGTTTTAACTGAAATAGATAATATATTCTGATTCTGAAATGAAATAATCTCCTGTGAATAGCGATTTTGGTGGCCGGTTTTTAGAATTACGTGGATGATTTGAATGATTCAAAGTAGTAACAGAAGGAGAAGACGTAAAAAGAGAAAGGGAAGAAAAAAATGAAAAGAATAGAAAAAGAAGAAAAGAAAAAATTAAAGGGAAATGCCAAGCTAGTGTGTTCAAACATGAAATTTCTATACTAGTCAAGTCAGTTTAGCATATTCAATTATTAAATTTGAAAACCGATAACTGGAGCTAAACTTAACAAATTTTTTTAACTAATTAATACAAAATACAAATAAATCTGAATTAATAAATGTCAGCTATTTGAATCGTTAGAACCCATTAGTTGCTCACCCTTAATTTTGTCCCTAATATTGTGGTGGTTGAGGTATTAACGAATTAAGAAATGAAGATCTTCGTAATGCCCACATTAATCATTTTGTTTTGTTGAAAGCTATGACAGATTAATTAAGAGATGGAAAGAGAAAGAGTTTGTTTTAATGAAGAAAATTAATTTCAAGTGAAAGGAAGCTGTGCAAATTAAATAATAAGCTATGATTTTCTCTTTGGAGAAAACTCACCTGCGTTTCTTTTCAATTTCATTGTTTATATATCTTAATCTTATACTATGTCTTGCTAAATTTTCATAGAAAATATATTCTCAGATTGTTCAATCATTTATATAATTAAGAAGAAAACAAAAGTTACAGGGATCTTTAGGCAAATAGCTACCAATTAATCCTTTGATGGTGATGTAAGAACCTTGCTGATTATCTTACAACATAAAGCTAGAATTCATAGTTCTTACATTCTAGATGGAAACAAGGGAATTAAGAAAATAAAAATGTTAGATGAAAGAGATGTAGGATGAAGTTGTTCCCAGATGTTACTTTCTCTAATTTTTCACCATTTTAGCATGTATACTTTTTTCTTGGTTTTTTGTTTATTTTCTTTTCTTCTCATTTCCATATTGAAGCTCAAGTCGTAGCATATAAATCGATTATTTCATTTCAATGACTCTAACTTCTTAATTTCCTTTTTTTTTCCTTGGTGGGGTCTCTTATATGTTAATTACATCTTACAGATAACAAAATTAATTAATTTTTCCTATAAAATTGGCATTGGTTTTAAACTTTTTATCAAAAAAGAGAAGAATTTATATATAAAAAAGACCAATATTCTATGGAGTTGGAAGATAGAGGGGCCCTATTCCAACTAGCAACATATAATCCCTCCATTTTGTGAGCCATACAATCTATTTGAAGGGCTTATTATCCAATTGTCTATGACCTTAAAGATAAGAAGTACAATCTCTTAATTAGATCCCAAATCATATAAAGAAACTACAAAAATCTTTAAACTTGGATCCTTACCATTCAAGAGCTATATGATAAAGAAAACACAGGCCAATTAATGGTTTTAAAATAAGATTTGAGATCACCCATCTTATTACTTTTCAAATTTCCTTTACAATGTAATAGATGATGTAATTAATCAGATCGTTCGGTAAGGATATAGAATTTGAGTCTCATTTCTTTGTCAGAGTTCGAATTTTATAAAAAATATTTTGAAAATAAAATTTTAAATTTATTATATCAATTTGAAAACTGTATTCTTAAAACTATATAAAAATAAACTCAAACAAAAACCGAAAGTATTCTTAACCCTATTATAATGTGAGAGAATATAATGAAAAGAACAAATGGGTGTTGGCTTTGCCCCGTGTGGAAATTGGAACCAGCTTTGACCACCGTCTGATGCTCAGTCTTATGAAGTACGAACCACATTTTTCCCATAGGAACCTTCATTTCAGGTTCCTAAATATGCATGTGAGTTGGTGACTGAACTCAACCTGAATCATGTGCGTAGGGCCTAAGTTGCTTACACGTTTGCAAACTCTAGACAGAAATAGGCACATGCAGATTTTAATCCCTCTAATTTATTGTGTTACAACTACGACACAGCTGCTTGAATTGTGGTCACTGGGTTCCATACCGTCCAATTTGTACGGCTAGAGGATTAAAGGTCTTTTTCAACCCCCTTTACTAAAAAAATTTTGTTTTAATAAAATTAATGATTTAAAAAAAATTAAAATTGAAACTTTTTATGTAAAGGTATTCCATTTGTATTTTAATTTATAATATAAGAAGAGATGATTCAAAGACGACCACAAACTCCCAGTCTACCTATGCTCCGACCATATTATCAGACCCATCCTATTTTGTGGTTTAATGTCTTGAATTGAATATAGGAAGGACCATAGTGATGGGAGACAAAAATGTTTGTAGGAGGAGAACCATATTCTTGGAAGATGCATTCATATCCATTTCCGGATACATAATTTGTTTCAATTCCAGGAAATTTCTGTTTTCACTTGCTCTCTGACAAAAATTATACAAATAAAGGACCAAAAACAATTCTACTGCTAGAAAATTATTTTCAGCTAAAAATACTCAAAACGATATTGGAATCGAGAATTAATTAAGTTGTGATGATGGCATTTTGAGGTTCAAGGGTCAAATTTAAACTTTCATAATAAAAATTGTCGTTAAAATAAGATATTTATTCAATCAGTTCGGTTAATTTTAAATTAAATTATTTAAAATTAAATTAATCAAATTATTTTATTTTATTTTTATTAATTAAATTAAATTTTTTAATTTTAAAAATTAACTAACAGTTGATTCGATTAATCGAATAATAAAATATATTATATTTAGTTACATTTTAAATTCTTATTTTTTTCATATATGAGATAAATTAAATAAAATTATTTAACAAAAAATTTAAATATTAAAATATTAAGTTAAAAACTCTAATAATTTGAAATGAAATGAATAATTTTATATAAATTTTATAAAATTTTGATTAATTTAATTTCGAATCAAATTAATTGAAAATTAAAATTTTTTTAAATTATTTTTTATAATGAATTAAAATTAATTTAATTATCGATTAATTAATAAAATTAAATCAATTTGATCAATTAATTCAATTAAAATAAAATTATAAACACGCCCTACATCAAGATCCAAGAAGTATTCTTAATATTTTAATGAAACCGAGCATAGCATCCCATCTGATATGGCCAGATGTGTGCTCTAGGCATTCGAGAACAGCATATCACATTGGCTCAAGTCGGGTCGTGTCTGCCCGATACATACCTATTCAGATCGGGCCATTCTAACTCGATTGTGCCTCCTTGCAGGTATAAATATCCTCGTTCTGTTTTCAGTAAAGGAATCAAACTTTTTCTCAGTTTTTCTGTTCCCTATTTCTTTTTTCTTTTTTTTTGAATATTGATTTAAATTTTGAAGTACGGAAACACTTTTAATTTTTGCTTTTAATCGATTTTTAATTCTGTTATTTTAGATTTTTGCCTTCCAAATCGTGTTTGGCATAAATAAGTGAGTGTATACATGTAATCATCTTTAAAAAAATATATATGAAAAGAAAAGCAAGAGATCATCAATAAAGGTCAGGATGTTGATATATTGAATATTATATTCAAATGAAAAAGTCAGAAAAGAGAGCCATCAAATGAACAGTGAAACTAGAAAGCGGAACAATATTTTCACACATGTGCGAGAACACCATATAGTACTTGGAAGCGCGTACGTTATTGTACGCCTGCGTATATAGATTTACTAATCGTTTCCTCCTGGCGAATTGGATAGACAATAATTTCCATCAAAACCGCATCTGAACACTCCCTCTAGACTCCAGTCTTTTTTTTTTTTCTTTTTAAGGTAAGCGTCTCAACTCCCAACTCAAAACTCCTCACTGGCTTTTTTCTCTGGAGATTTTTATTGCTCACCTTTAATTAACTTCATAGTCCATTTTATGGTGTTTTGTCCTTGAATTTCCTTTGTTTTAATCACTGGGTCTATCTTCTTCATCTGTGCTTTGGTATAGTTTGCTTAGCTTTTCTTTGTGAGAACATTCTTTCTTTCTTTCATTTCTTTAGTCAAAAGCAAAGATGATTATTGGGTAGTACTCGTATCAGAATATCAGATATCTAGCTAGAAATCTTAGCAACTTTTAATTGCTTGATTTCTTGGGTGCCTTCATTTCTAAGTTTTTGGTGTCATGTTTAATCATTCCAGGTTTAAGGACCTCAACAGAAAATCAAGGAAAAGAGAAAAGCTTTGAATGGAAATCGCTTCAGCCAAATGGTTACCTGAACTGGTAAAGATTGTTCTGCCACTGTTCCCAACCATCTGAAAAAAGTAAAAGAATTCTTTCTAATGAAAGCCTAATTTTATGGTTTGATTTCCAGGAAATGGAGGATCCTACGTTTTTCCCACAATACCAAATGATGAACCCCATTGACTATTCATTTGATGATCTCAATTTCCAATCTTTTTCTTCAGAGAGCTATTCAACCTATCCAAATATCGACCAGAAAATCTCCCACAACAATATCAATGGTTCATGCATTGAAGCTTCTCTTCAGGTCGAAGACTACTTTAAAAGGCCAATGAAACAACTCAAGACCAACAGCTGGAACCCTTGCATCACAGAAAACATCCCACCAAAGGCTTCTTCTTCCTCTTCTTCCCATATAATCTCCTTTGACAACTCGAATTCATCACCGGTTATATCTCAGCAATACTATGGTACAGACTGTGCTGTGAAACCAAAAAATGAGGTGGGTTGGGATGGAAATATGGGATATTTTCCATCTTCGATTTTTCAAAGTGCCTCCAAAGACCAATTTTGTTCACCTAAATTTGGGCAGGTTTCAAAGAGGGCCGGTTCATTGACTAGGACTCCATTACATGCTCAAGAACATGTAATTGCTGAACGAAAACGCCGAGAAAAGCTCAGCCAGAGATTCATATCTCTTTCAACACTTATTCCTGGCCTGAAAAAGGTACAAGTTAAAAGTCCCAGTCTAGTTATAGTTTTTCAAAGATTCCTGTTTTAATTTCCTTAATTTCTAGTTGAAGTACACCATCCATATAGAGAACAAGTAGTGTCGGTTGTTGTGGCTTTGAAATTTCTTCAAAACTATTTTATTTTGTTATAATTACCTTACCCTTATAAAAGAATTCCATGATTTCATGATGGGAAAAAGCAGTCAAGAGATGAAGTTTCTTTGAAATAAAGGAGCTAATAATAGGTTAAGTTTAATCTTAGATATGGTTTCATATTTAATGATTAAATTGAATTATTCCTTGTAAGAGAGGACTCTAATTTTCATACAATACGAAGGTTTAGCCTAAGTGTCATAGTTCATGCAATAACTTTTGGAATTCATCAAAAGCAAATGTAGTTTTAAAAGAAACAAAGCTTTGGCTTATACAGATCTAATATGTCTTTGCAGACGGACAAGGCTTCTATTCTTGGAGACGCTATCAAGTACTTGAAACAGCTTCAAGAGCGAGTGACAACACTTGAGGAACAAGTTGCTAAGAAAACAGTGGAATCAGTGATTTTTGTGAGGAAAACTCAAATTTATGCAGATGATGAGATATCTTCATGTGATGAGAACTTTGATAGTCAATCAAACAAGCCGTTCCCCGAGATAGAAGCAAAAGTTTCAGACAAGGATGTGCTCATAAGAATCCACTGCGAGAAAAACAAAGGGTGCATATCCAATATCATAAACGAAATCGAAAAGCTTCATCTCTCTGTGCTCAATACAAATGTCTTGCCCTTTGGACAAGCTACTCTTGACATAACCATTGTTGCTCAGGTAATTTTACAACCTTCTAAAATTTCTAGTTAAGGAACTTTTGTTTCTTCCATTTTTGTTCAATGTTTTTCAAGCTTGCTATGCTTTTCAAATTTAGCTTAATTACAAGTACTAATTACAACCCTTGACTTAAGCCTTAATTTCATGGTTATTATTGCAGATGGAAGCTGAGTTTTCAATGAAAGTGAAGGATCTTGTGAAAAGCCTACGACTAGCTTTGCTGAAGTTCATGTGATGAACTTGCAAAACCATGTTCACGTTAAGAAAAAAACAAGATTGCCCATTGACTTCATTGTATAGGAAGAAAATAACTAGGAATAAGCTCTATGGAGTTTCTTTTTTCTTGTCTTTTTGTATCAGTGATAATTTTCTATGGTTTGTCTTTGTTGGGCATTTTCCTCAGACCTTAGAGAGAGAAACAATAGCCTGTGAATTTTTCTCTCAGTAATATTGATGACCTGCCATTCTCAATAGCTAGGAGGATATATCCAATTTTACAGCAGAGGAGGTTTCCATTTGTGTTTATTTTTGTGTGGGTTTGACTCGTTGACCACGTTTAATTTTCCCCACGTGCTGTATTTGGATTCTGCTAGCTTTGAAGAGGTTTTTGAGAGGTTTTGACTTCAGTTGTTATACATGGCCTCTTTCCCTTTTTTTTCTCCATTAAAATTGGAGATTTACAGGCAGTTTTTCTTTCTTTGGTTTGATTAGAAATTTTAGGAACCTTATGATAATTTTATGTTTGGGTCGTTCTATAAACTCTCCTTGTAATTGCACCTTTTACTTTGAATAACAACGGATTTTTTTTTCTTTTTTGTTCATATATTATTTAATTTTTACTAAGATGTCAATATATTTATCGTGATTAATTCTAATATTTTTTTTTAAATTATTACGATTTTTGTTGGAATGCATGTGGAATCCAACTTGATAAATTTAACATTACATTAGGAATTTATGACTAGCTATGAATTGAACATATGAAGTATGAAGAGAAATGAATGTATTGGTGAGGTAAGATTATTGTAGAATTTAAAATTTAATTCAATTGATTTAATAAATGATTTTTAAAAGATAACATTCAATAAATTTAAAATTTAAATTTTAACCCTTGTAATTTTTTATTCCACACTACGACATTTTTATAAAAAGAAAAAAAAAAAAGCAATATTATTGTAACAGTTGAAGGCATACAACAGATGGGGACCTCTGTGAGAATATTTAATTGCTAAGCACTTCTAAATAAGTTAGTCGTCCCCAACCAAAGATTGTAATCTGCCATAGTTTCTTTCTCTTTTGGCTCTCTACTCTTTCTGTCTCTTTTCTGTATTTATAATAGGGAAGTTTGTCGGTTGTAACTTTTCTTTTCTGATCTCCTGTTTCCATTGCTTTCACATATAGCAAAACATTCATTGGTAGTATATTTGATTAATAGAAACGTCATCCCATGTTTCCAAGTTCCAAGGTTACAAGTTAAGAGGAAAATCAAAGAGCAACACTTCTTTGCTGCCTAATATTTAACCATATAATTAAATCTTAGGTGGTAGGATATGGAGAAAATATGATCGATCTAAACAAATATAAAAAAGATGTAAAAATAAGCAGGGAAACCACATCCATCAGCACATGAACATTTCAACGTTTTATAGCCCCACAATAAATGAAAGTAAACCCACCCAAAACCGACCAAAATGGGCAGCATTTGGAATGGTCCCGAAAGTTTGTGAGGAAAAAATTTCTAGGATACCTGGCAAGAAGAAATTATATAGTCAAAGTGAGGCAACTACGTGTAAGGAGTATTAAAGCTAATTCCTATGACTTTTGACCCTAAACAGTCCAAATAATGGACGGTGCGTGGTGTTAATAATATTGAGTTTGATATGTACTGCAACTAAAACGATAGATGTTAGTGTTATATTCTCTTCCTTTTCATACCTCTTTGATACTTCCACTATATGACAATATGCTTATACCCAATAAATTTGGAGTTTCCCTACCTAAATGTCTTGTATATAATCTGGCCAGAGGAAATAAAAGAAAAAAAAAGATTTCATCTCTAATGATATACGGTAAACAAGTATATAATCAACACAGAATATTTCAAAACAAGCACCCAATTTCTAAGCTTTTGCTGCAATTTGGTCAATAGTGGGCCTATAATGAAAGTTCAAGTCTTCCCTTTTTCCTATTTACCATTTTTTTCCTTGGTTTTTCTTAACTAACAAAAAGATTGAAATGAGATTTCTTGAATTGAGCAGTAATTGGATGGTTTTAAAATAGAAACAGAAATTCCCATCAAGCATGATGACATTACCATGGACATTTGAACTAGAACAATTAAAGAACACAAAGTTTAGTTTTTGGCCTTTATCTTTGCTCTCTTTCGGGACAAGTAGTTGAAATTTTGGTTGGTTTTGTCCTGCCAATGAATCTATTCATCACCTAGCACCAGCTTTTCCACCTGATGCTGGATGTTTGGAACCAGAGGGATTGATAATTCCGTCCATACTTTTTCAAAAAGCTTGTACGGTTGTACCTTTATTTCTTCCATTATTTCATGTTTTCCCATTTTCATGGAACGGAACCCTATTCATGCAAATTTGCCGACCAAACACTCAATTTAGAATAAATATTTGATGAATTATTTATTTTAAAATTAGTCGTTTGACTAACATTTTTTTAAATTTACAATTAAAAATATATTTTAATAGAAATTTGTGTTTCTATGGTATAATTTACTTGAGTGACATTAACAAATAATATTGATCTGTCAAATTTTGACAAATGCCATGCATATGATTAACTCACCAAACCAAAGAAATAAAGTCAAAATAATAATAAAAAACAATTTTACAAGAAAAAAAAAGGGTTTTTCATCTTTCTTTCTCTTGTTCTTTTCAAATTCTTTATTTTCTTCAAAGCCTCTGATTTTTTTCAAATCAACGTTAGTTTTCTTTCAATGGTGTAGGCCTCCTTAATTTCCATCCTTTCCTTGCTAACAAGATCTGCAATAGCGGGCTCAACTTTCTTTTTCTTTTTTTTTTTTTCTCTTTTAATTCAACTCCTCCATTTGAGTATGTAATTTTTCTTTAGCTGTAACTCATGACCCCAAGAGACATTATTGTGTTAATGATCTATTTTTTGTCACTCTTTCTCCTTTCCTTCTAAGAGTTTTATTCACAATCCTAAGTTTTATTACTTTTTATCTTTTTATTTATTTCACGTTTTACCTAAGCATTAGGAAAAAACTAAAAATTTGATGGGTTGAAATTTTCATTGTAAATTTTAATTCAAAATTGTTGGACGATAATGAACAAAATTTGTGTTATTTAGTTGTGGGTTTTTGATCTTGTGAGTATTAATTATAATCTTTGTGGTTTTGTGATTTTTTTTAATTTAGCTTAGTAGTGAGCAATTGAAAACTTGATGTTGTGCAAATTGAAAGTCATGGATGAGAATTCAGATTCAAATGGAATCTTAGATTTTTTATTTTTTGTCATCTTATTTCCAAACCCTAATCAAAAATGAAAGAAAGAATGATTTTTTTTTTCAAAAAATAAATCTCATTTTCTAAGATTACTTTAATTTTTCATTTAAAATGATATTTAACCACTAAAAAAAAATACGTTATCACATTTTCCTATAAATGTTAGAGTTACAAGTGTGTATGAGATATGCATAATTTTTTATCTAAATATATTTTTAATTATAAACTTTCTAAGCATTTAATCTACGTCAATACAAATTAAATATTTAATCTTAAAGTGAATAATTCGTCAAGGATGTGATCTTAGATTGAGTATTAAGCCCAAACTTGCTAACAAAATTTTTTACATTGCCCATTCTTGACCAATGGGACAAAAATCTTATACGCGGTTTTACTTTCATGCCTAGGCCTATAATTAGCTACACCCACCATGTTAAAGTAACTTAAAATTTGTCACCTAATTATTTACCAAGAAACTCAAATTTATATGATTTAATATATACAGAGAGAAAATTATATATATTGATGATCAAATTTTTTTAATTTTACAAGTTCGTTTATGTTATAAAGATTTGTATAATTATTAAATGGACACACCTGATAATTTTATATTCCCACTTGTAAAATTTAAAGTCTTGATATAAAAAAGTCATATTTCTTTAATTGATAAATGGTTTTTTTTTTCTATAAATAATTTATAATTCTTCTCTTTTATTTTTTTTTCTTTTATTTTCCCTTTATCCCGGAACCAAAAGAGATTGGATAAAGCCGTGCCTCCTTGATTTCATGCATCAAATGTGGTTGGCCTTCAAGGAAAGGATATGCCTTTATCTACAAAAGGTTATGCAAAAAAAAAAAAAGTCACGGTGTTTATCATCAAAGGATTCATGGTAAAGCTAGTGTGGTTGACTATATAAAAGTGAAAGGAATTCGTAAACAGTTTTTTTGTCGAAAGATTTCTAATTTTAGATCCAATGAAGTACAAAGCAATAATATTCCCCTAAGTCCTTTGATTAAGCATCACAAATTTGACTTCAATTCGAAACTTTTGATTTAGTAATTAAAACTCTCTGTTTTCTTTTAAAAATTTATATTTGATATGTTATCGACATATAAATATTATATATTTTCATTACATCATTAATTATTACATTATTAATAAGTAAAATTTTTAAAAAATCAATGAAAAAAATTTTTAATTTAAAATTTTATGATGTTTAATAAATTAATAATGCATAGGATATAGTGCATTGGATAAAAATCCAAACTCAACTTTTTTTATATGTAAAATATTGATCATAGGGGAAAACAAGAGAGAATCACTTACTCAGAGAATAAAAAGGAGGAGGCTGATTTGGAAACGACAATGTATTTCATGTCTTATTCTCTTTGTTAGAAGATCCATCCACAATTTTCTACGTATTCAAAACGTGATCATATTGCTGTTTAACCAACTCATTTCAAAAGAAGTACTTTCTTCGTATTTCCCACTCCTTCCACATATAATATATGCTTTTAAAGGGGAAGTCCAGATAAAGAAAAAAAAAAAAAAAAAGGTTGCAACTTTTTAACCTTCAAGTGAATATAAAAGGTTATCACATAATCATTAAGTTTATATTTAAAAAGATTAATCGATTAATATAATTTTCGAAAACGTGACATCCATTAAAAAATAAAGAAAACGTTACAACCCAGTAAGCTAACTTATAAAATTCAAAATTTTCGTCGTTAATGCGTACAATAATAATTCTTATTCTTAAATGTCTCTTTCTTTGAAAGATTCTTTATAATTTTTTTTACAAAACTGATCCTAATTTAAAAACAGGAAAAAAGATTATATTGGAATCCTTTCTTTATAAACGAAAAACTCTAAAGGTAGGTGGTCCGATTGAGCTACCTACCATTGCTTTACGAAGCAGCCCATAATAATGTTATTGGAATCCTTTCTTCACATGGAACCCAAAATTTCTCAAAACCCGAAGGAAGGCCTGCGCTGAGCGGTTTAAGGCTTCTTAGTTGCAGATCTTTGGGTTGGAATCCGAGACTTTCCGTGCCATCTCTCCAAGCACGATCATGAACTTCCCGCCCACCATACTCGTTTCTTTACTGATTTCAAGGATAACTTAGACCTCAAAGTTCAAATATTGTAGATGGTATTGTTTATATATGATAATGTTATTTTGGAGCTATTGCATTGGAGGCAGGATTAAAGAGAAGGGAATGTATTATGGGCTGATGTTGAGAGAAACAAACTTTTTGATTGTGTGTGCGAGCCTATATCTGATTTCTATAGGGAGGAGATTTCTGTTCCCTGTAATGTCACGAGTGACTCTTCACCGAATCACAGGTATGGTTTTGCTATAGCTGATTTGATATTAAGATATTGGGTGTTTTCAAATGTTGGGTGAGTGATTAATTAAGTGAACAGTTAGTTGATTTGTTTTCAAATGTTGATCGTTTGATTAATAAAAAAAGTTTTAATCATGTGAAACTTTGAAACCTTGTTAGTTTTCACACTT